TGACATCTAGTCCCATCTGGTTCAGGGAGGAGGGAGTTGAGGGAAGCACAGAGGCTCTAGATGATGGGTTATTGCTGCCAAAATCACCCTTTCCCCTCCCTCCTCCTGTTCTCTCATTGACATGCCCTTTATTATCTTGTTGTTGTTGATGTAGTGTTTTTTTCCCACAGAGCTCTGTGGGATAGGACAGCAGAGCACACACAGAGAAGATAGGAAAGGAGAACAGGAGTGGGAAAGGGGAGGAAGGGCCTCTCCAGGATTCCCAAAAGCCCTTGCTCTCCAGAGCTGCAGGCTGAGGAGGCGTGTCTTCCAGGCTGGGAATCTGAGAAGGTGAAGATCTCTCAACAGTCTCCAGCCCCTCCAAACTCTGCAACCTTCTCACTGATGTTCCCAGTTCCAGCACCAGATCACTGGTCATTGTTCTTCACAATGACCGCTTTCTTTCCAAGCTTCCTTGGGGGTCTGGCTCGTTCCCATAAAGGCCAAGATGCTGAATTGGGAGGATCTATAAAGTACAGTATACTTCTGGTAACAGGTCATTTTTGCTACATAGCAGAACATGACAAAATTTAGTGATTTAAAGCAACAACAATTTTATTTGCTCCAATCCTGTTGGTCCTTCTGGTCTGGGATGGCTTGTCTGTGGCTAAACAGTCTAGAATAGAGCTATCCAATAGAAGTGTAATACAAACCACATCTGAAATTTGAAATTTCTAGTAGCCACATTTAAAAAACCTAAAAGAAACAAGTGAAGTTTATTTTAAGTTAACACAATATGTCCAAAATACTATTATTTCAATGTCTAATTAACATAAAAATTCTTAGTGAAATATTTTACATTCTTTCATCATACAAGTGTTTAAAGTCCAGTATGTATTTTTACACTTACAATACATTTCAATTCAGGGGCACCTGGGTGGCCCAGTCAGTTAAGCATCCAACTCTTGGTTTCAGTCCAGGTCATGATCTTGTAGTTCGTGGGTTCGAGCCCTGCATCGGGCTCTGCGCTGACAGTGTGGGGCCTGCTTGGGAGTCTCTCTCCCCCTCTCTCTGCTCCTCCCCGTCTTATACTCTCTCTCTCTCTCAAAATAAATAAATAAAAACTTAAAAAAACAACAATACATTTCAATTCATACTAGCCACATTTCACTAGTGGCTCAACAGCCACTGTCTAGAATCTCACTCATATGTCTATGGTGTCAGATGGGATGGCTGGAATGGCTGAGGGTTCTCTTCACATAGTATCTCATCCTCCAGATTTGTCTGCATGACAGAGGGAGAGTTCCTATTGGCAATAGAACACCAATGCACAAGTGACTTTCAAACCCCCATCTGTTTCATGTTTGCTAAAGTCCCATTGGCCAGATTGAGACACATGAGCTAACCCAGGGTCAGTGTGGGAGGGATTTATCTGAGGGTGTGGTTACCAGGAGGTAACTAAAGAGGAGGCCATTTCTCCCAAATCCCCAGGCTCAAGGGAAATATCCCACCACTGCTGCCAGCTTCTCCCTCCCTGCTTCTTAGAAAATTCAACACAGGGAAGGCACAAAAAAGAAAATTAAAATAATCTGTAATCCTGCTTCTTACAAACAACCAGAGATAATCCTATCTCCCACAAACAACCAGAGATAATCCTATCTCCCACAAACAACCAGAGATAATCCTATCTCCCACAAACAACCAGAGATAATCCTATCTCCCACAAACAACCAGAGATAATCCTATCTCCCACAGATACTGTTATTCCATTATTCCATTACTTTTTCAAAGCACATATACATAGTCATTTTGTAAATTGGCAATCAAATCAGGAAATACTAATGACTATCATTCTTAACATTTTCCCACATTATTAAAGATTCTTCTAAGAAGTGAATTTTAATGATTTCATAACATTCTATTGTATGGATATACCACAATCTATATAATCACTTAATGCTAAAGGATTATGTTTTTTCCTATTTTTCACACTCATAAATAATAAGAGATGGTTCACACACTTTTCATTCATTCAAGCCAATTTGTGAAGAATGGATTCCTAGAAATAGAATTTCTAGGCCAAAAAAAAAAAATTGTACATTTCAAAGTATCTGATTGACTAATAGATTCAACAAATAATTATTAAGCATGTATAATGTCCAGACACTCTTAAAGGCACTGGGGATAGGGAGGTATGAAAACCAGACAAAACCCCTACTGTCATAGAGGAGGTTACCTTTCACTGGAGTGACCCTTTAATAAGGAAAGAAGTATATTACCTAGTATGTTAGAAAGTACTAAATGCTATGGAGAAAAGTAGATTGGAGATAAGGGCAGGAAGTGCCAGGGTGGGGACAAGGCTATAAATGTAAATAAGGGAGTCAACAAAGACCTCACTCATGTAATTTTGCTCCAAATATATTCTTTAGTTTCTTTCTTCAGGGTATATAAGATGAGGGGAGGGTAGGACACTGGGGGAAGTATTAAACAGGTGACCACAAAGGTCAGAGTCTAATTTATCTTCATCATAAGACTGGCCCAGACTATTCTATTTGCCTTCACCTGTGAGCAATTGTAGGATTACAACTAGACCCCAGGTAGTCAAGCTAGGGGTCCATGGGGGAGAAGTCCTATGCGTCTAGTCCTGTGGGGATACATACACAGTAGTACCCACATAACTCCTGGAAACAAACACAGTGAGGGAGATATTATGGGGGCAGTGGGGTCTTTGAGCCCCTGCCTCACCTCTTTGGTCAAGTGTTTCTTCTGATTGGCCAGAAACCTCCCAGAGGCTGTAATCAGTGCCTTTTTTCTCAGAAAGCTCAGATCACAAATACATACCCTCTACCACTATCATAGCAAAGGCTTGCAAATACTGAACGTTGAGTATGTATATTTGATGAAGGCATGGCAAACTAAATAAATGAGTGGATTTTTTGAGTTAAGAATAAAGAAACAGCTTTATTTGAGGAGGATAAAGAGAACTTCACTATTCACCCAGCAAGCCTGTGGCATTGAGGAGGCAGAGTGGGATTAGAAATGTGAAAGTAGCCTCGTGAAAAAAGAACTTTGGCCCAGTTGTTATTCTACCATCGATGACTACATTCATGTCCTCGGATACAGTATTGGTTTCTAGAATTGCCATCTTTTTATCTGGACGTAGATAATACAAAGCAGTATACATCTCTGCCATTGAGGACTGGGTCATAGAGGGCATCCAGAAACTTTCCTTTGCCACTACTTACAAAAGCATTCATTCATTCAACCAACACATTTTTATGATGTGCGTGTTATATCCCAGGCATTATTCTAGGTGTTGAGAACAACTGTTCTGGGTTTCAGAGATAAACAAGAAAGACCAGTTCAGATCTACATTTTTGGGGGGAGGTAAACACACAAGTATATGAATACAACCAGGTAGTAATAGGTACTACAAAGAGACATTTCAAAAGGGTTATGTGGGGTGCCTGAAGTTGGTTGAGCAGCCGACTCGATTTTGGCTCAGGTCATGACCTCACAGTTTGTGGGACTGAGCTGTGCTGACATCATAGAGCCTGCTTGGGATTTTCTCACCCCCCTCTCTCTTCCCCTGCACACGCTCGCTCTCATGCTTTCTCTCTCTCTCTCAAAATAAATAAATAAACATTAAAAAAAAAAAGAAAGGGTGATATACTAGATGATGGTTTCTTCAAGTTGGGTGTTCAGGAAAGAGCTCTCTGAGGAAGTGACATTTAAGTTGAGATCTGAATGACAAGCAGGAGCCAGACATGTGGCAATGAGGGGCCACGGGGAGGCTCAAGTGCCCTGACTCATGTTCAAGAAACAGAGAGGATGCCACAGTAACTGGAGCATAGTAGGTGATGGGAAAACGGTGTGAGATGAGGGTCAGATAAGGAAGCCCTGTAGGAGTTTGGGTATTAATCTAAAAGCCATTGAAGAGCTTTAGGTAAGACACTGCATGTCTGATTTGCGTACGAGGAATGGAGAAGGAGGTTGCAAGCAAGAGACTTCCAGCAAACAGACTACTGCTATAATCTAGGTGAGAGACAGAAGAAGAATTTGGCCAGTGGCAGTGGAAAAGAAAGAAGTGGGGACTGATTTTGCTATATTTTTCAGCAAGCTTCTGACGGATAAGACGTTGGCTTGCATTAGTGGATGAATGCTGAGACAATTTACAGAAATGAACACAGCTACAGGCATAGCAGATTTTGAGGCAAAACTTAAAAAGATCTGTTTTGTCCTGGTCAGGTTGGAGAGGCCTACTAGATGTCCAATGGCGATGTTGAGTCGGCAGTTGGAAATGAGCCCAGAATTTCAGGTAGAGATCAGGCTGGCAAGTCACAAGTGTAAACCGACAGGACATGGATGTGGTTCAGGGTAATCTTTCATTAAACTCCTCTCATGAATTTGTCAAGTGATAAAACGAATGAGTAGTCGTAAGGAGAGTAAAGAACACTCACTGAGCCGCACAGAACCAGAATCATCTGTCACTTACTAAGCAAGTTGCTTCTCCATCTGGGAAGTGGGGTCACTGGTGGTGTCTACCAGGAAGGGTTGTTTTAGGACCAAAGGAACAAACATTTGCAAAGGTATCCAGTACAACACAGGCCTCTTTCAGCCAAGGGCTGTCTGCTCTACTCAACCTGAAAAGCCTTCTAGAAAAGTGCAAGGGAAAATACAGGCACCACCTTCAGAAGGAGTCTGCCCTTGCCTCACAGGCCCTTTTGTTGACAGCTTTGGTGAAGGCAAAATCAACACTATGCAGAGCTCTCGCTTGAATCCGAAATCAGCTGCTTCTGGGGGAAAAAAAAAATGGTGATGAATCTCTTGACAGCCATGCTATTTGTCAGCTGATAACATATTTTTTCCCAGATTATTAGACTTGAGCCAAGGAAGCAACAGTTAAAAACGCATTCTACAAATATTATTATTGCTTCTGAGTGGAGTTTTGTTTTACTTTTCTCTCTCTCTCTCTCTTTTTTTCTTTAAGAAAGTGCCTGCGCAGAGCCTATTTTGGGGGCTGACTTGAGTTGTTTTCCTGGCTGTGCTCCAGGGAGGTTCATAGCAAGGGTTGCTCAAGCTGCAGATAGTGGTTTTGTGGGCTATTTGTTGCTGCTTTTAAGTGCCCCGAAGACCTCTCATTCCCACGTCTTCCTAGTTCAAAAAGGAGGTGTGGGACTCCTGACCACTAACAACTCCTCTAAAATCAAGGGGTTGGGGAAGGAAGGGGGAAGGGCTACTACTTAAGTCCCTGGTCATCGGCTCCCATCTCATGACAGTGGCAATTGTGCACTGGACCTGCTCCAGGATCCTGGTGGGAAAATCTGTAGATAAACTACCAGAGCAAACAGCACCCTTGGGGAATGTTCTTGTGGTGTTTCTGTCATAAAGGGGCCATTTGCGCTCAAGAGGTTTCCACAGAGGACACCATCCCAGCATGGTGTGTCACCAAGAGGGCACAGGGCACGGTCCTGCTGTGAACTGCCCAGGCTCTCCACACAGGAGGTGGAGGCAGGGCTGCTGCCGGAGCCACGGCAGGGCCTGGACAGCCTGTAAACAGAGACTGTTCCCTGGCCAGCTCAATGGGTGCCTACTTCTGGGTGAATAAATTAAGCCTTCACATGTCACAGATATGGCTTCTCCTAGAAGCCCTGGTACCAGCCCCCACTCTGAATTTGCTGGGAACATTATAACCTCCCTGGAGCTTCTGCCTGAATGGAGAGCATTTTCCCCCAAACTCTTTAGGAATGGGGCAGGTGAGGGGCATCTCCTGTTGGCCGCAAGTGGGCTAATAAGGAATAGGCAGGAATTCAGGAGCCTAACCAAAGCCAAGAGTCCTGGGCTCTTCTTCCTGGTAAAGCACGCCCCTCTCAAGTTCCCCTGATTTCACCAACCTTTCGTCAAGAACGCAGAATTACTGCCCTGGTAATCCCATGAATGATATAGGTCCTGACCCATTCACACACAGGAAGGGAAGGAACTCCTCACCTTAGATTTCTACACCCTATGTTGCCCTGGGCAAGCCTCCCTGACCGCAGGGAATGGGGGAGGTTTCCGTTCTGGGACTGGATCAGACTCTGGGTGTCTCTGAGCAAACTTCATTCAGTTATTCAACAGATATAGACTAAGCTTCTTGCAAGTGCCAGAGATTTCCTGGAGGCAGTAATCCAAAGGCAATCTGCCTCCCGGGTTCATGGGTTAATGAAACACACAAATAAATAGCACCTCCCCGAGCCTCAGTTTTCCTACTGATGAAGTGTGGATGACAACAACAACATGAAAACACTGTAAACAACCAGCAGCAGATGAGTGCAACATTAGATTATGGTGTAAGCAGTGAAAACAGATGAGCTAGAACTACATTTGTCAATAGGGATGAGTAAGTGAAGTGAAAAAAGCACATTGGAGAAGGATACATTTGCACGATCATTCATATAAGGGTTTAAAACACGCAAAACAATAATAGATTATAAATACATTCCTTTGTAATGCTTTGTAATAAAAGCAAGAAATTATGCATGGGAATGCTATGTCAAATTTAGAAAAACTATTACCCCTGGGGAGGGAGATGCACTGGAAGGTACACTCAGGACTTTGCCAGAAGGTACGCTCAGGAGTTTCCATTGAACCTGAAATGTTTTACTCTTTCAATGAGCTGGTAGGTACCTGCGCGTTTGTTATATTACTTACGTTTTTGGTCGGCCCGAAATATATAGAAATAAACTAATTTAATACTACATTGAACTCATAAAAATAATTAATTTTTAAATCCCTGTAATCAGTCAATTCTATGGTAGTATGGAGAACCCAAACAACAGATAACCCTAAGCATATCTATTTGGGTATGGAACACCCCATTTGATTTCTGAGGAAAGGAAGATAAAAGCCTTCACTTGCTGATTTGTATTGATAATTATTATTATCAACATTTATTGAGTGCTTACTATGTGCCAGGCACACAATACAGCATCACTAAGGATTTTACATGCATTATTAGCATTTTAAGAGAGAGGTCGCTGAAGCTCATTGAAGTTAAGGAACTTGCCGACCTCACGAGACCACACGTAGGGGATTCAGAATTCAAACCCAGGTCGCTTTGCCTGAGTATGCAGCAGTTGAGAAGTTGTAACTGGGAAGTAACTCCTCGGCAACTTGACACATTTCCCAATTCATTGATTGACATCAGCCAGGTCCCTCACCCACCCTCTCTATCCCAGCCTTCCCTCACTGCCTGGAATATGAGGATAGTAACAATCAGCTTCCTCCTGAATGGACCTTCTAACTGAAGGTGGCGAACAAGTAGACGGTGGCTGGATGATGCATGCATGGGACATAAATGGCAAATAAATGGGTGGTTGCTAGGTGGGTGGGTAATGGGTTGTGTACTGTAGAATCGTAGATGGAAGGCAGGTGGTGGGTACACGATGACTGGGTGATGAATGGCTGATGGTGAGATGATGGATGGCTACATCATAGAAGATGGTCACGTAAAAGGTGAATGGTACACGGTAGATGGAGGAGAGATGAAAGCCGGGTGGTAGGTAGTGAGTGGTGTATGGTTAACGGATGGTTCAACGTATACACGGAGGACGATGGGTGGATGGTGAAAAGATGATGAATGCAAATGGATTCTGAATGAATATGATAGTGAATAATGGATGTGGGGGAAGAAAGAAAATGTTCAGACCTCTCTGTGGGCCTCGGACTGAGCAAGGGCCACACAGGTACCTACAGTGGTGAGGTTCAGTGCAAGTCTCCTGTGGGGTCCACTTTGGTACCCCTTCCGTTACTCCCTCTCACGGCTGTCCCTTTGCTCAGGCTGACTCTCCCTGTGGACATTTCCACAAACAGCTCTGCAAAAGTGAGGCAGGTTCAAAAATGGCTTTTTAATTAGGCTATTACATCCCAGACTTACATCCCAAAACACTGTTTTGCCTTCTATAAATAACAAAATTTGGGTTTTGTTTACACTTAATTTCACGGATAACATATGACTACATTTTTCAGAACAATAAAGCCAAATTCTTTATCAAAAATTATACACATAGCTTCAAATGCCAGGCTGACCTCCCCAGGGATAATGGTTTCCAGTTTGGTGGATATCCTAGACTTTCTCCGGTCATTCGCACACACCTGAGTGTGCCTATAAAATATGGTGTGGTGGCATTTATAAAAATTGTATCAGGCTATATCTATCAGTCTAGAACTTGCTCTTTTTTTTTTTTTTAACTTTTTACTATTAACCAAGCTATACAAGCACATAATTTAATTTTTTTTTTCAATGTTTATTTATTTTTGGGACAGAGAGAGAGAGACAGAGCATGAACGGGGGAGGGGCAGAGAGAGAGGGAGACGCAGAATCGGAAACAGGCTCCAGGCTCTGAGCTATCAGCCCAGAGCCCGACGCGGGGCTCGAACTCACGGACCGCGAGATCGTGACCTGGCTGAAGTCGGACGCTTAACCGACTGCGCCACCCAGGCGCCCCTCAAGCACATAATTTAAAAAGCCAACTAGGACAATAAGGTTTATTAAGTCAAAGAGTGGTCCCCAGACTTCCCACTCCCATTTCTTCCTTCCCATGGGCAACCACTTGCTGATTTCCTCTGTCTGGTTCTTTCGGTACTGACTTCATACCTCTTGCTACTATATATATATATATATATATATATATATATATATATATATATATTTAGTTTTAGAAATTATCAATTACTTTCCCACGGTAAAAGATGAAGTTTGGCTCTCTTTCCTCCCTCCCACTGCACCATCCCACAAGCATCCTTCCCACCCCTTCGTTCTCCCAATATACTTAGAGCACAATTTTGAATAGATCAATATTCAGGATACACAATGATAACCACTCTGCAATTCACAGCTGAGTTGTGTGCTAAGCTATAATTAAATTCCTTCCCTGCACAACTTTTTGTTTTTTCTGTATTTAGTAATTTACCTTTTCCATTTTCCTTGTTTTCTAAATAACTATGATTAATGCAACAAGTTCATTGGCAACTGTTTAATTTTTCTCTCAGTATATTCAAATACTTCAGGTAGTCTGTCAATTACATTGTCTTGAAGAAGCCTCTCTGGGAGTCTTCCCACCTGCTCCTGTTTTCCTTGTAGCCAGGTGCCCCACTATTGTGGAGATCTCCCCCACAATAGTCCTGAGAATTCTTTTTGCCTTTCTCCTGTGTCCTGTATTCTTTGTCTTCCTCCCGCTTAGTTTTCTCTCTCAACTTAATGAAGTACATTCTCTGGCTGCTTCCAGAGAAGGGATCTATGGAAAGCAAATTGGTTGAGAGCTTGTCTGAAATGGCTTTATTCTACACTGACCCTTGACTGATAGTTTGGTTAGGTATCAAATTCTAAGTTACAAATCACTTTGAAATGTTTGAAAGCATTACTCCACTGTCTTCGGATTTCCAATATTATTACTGAGAAATGCAAAGCCATTTTACTTCCTGATCTTGTGTATATGACCAGTTGCAAAGGACCATTTTTTTGTTTCCAATTATTGGTATGCAAAACATTAAGTATTGCATGTGCTTCCCTAGGTTTTCCAGCTTTGTCTACAATTGGATTAGGGCCAAGTGGCTAGAGTAGAAGTGACACATGTCACTTCCAAGCTAAGAAAGTTACCAACCAGTGTGCCTGGTTTGTAAAAGCCTATTTTCCCCTCCCACAACTACTTACCCCAGGAGACCCATGATCCAGGTGACATATTTACAAGGCAGAGTTGGACTACCTGAAATACTTTGCATAAATGACAAACTTTAGTTTCATTAAACCACTAAGATTTTTAAGGGCTGTATAAAAAGATGTATCTACAATCTATTATTGTTTTGCATGTTTTAAACCTTTATATGAATGATCATTCAAATGTATCCTTCTCCAGTGTGCTTTTTTCACTTAAGTTACTTATCCCCATTGACAAATGTAGTTCTAGCTTATCTGTTTTCATTGATGTATAGAACAGTCAAGTTTATATCACAATCTAGTGATGCACTCATATGCTGCTGGTCATTTACAGTATTTTCATGTTGCTGTTACCCACACTTAATCAACAGGAAAACTGAGGCTCAGGGAGGTGTACTTACTGTGTGCTTCATTAACCCATGAACCCAGAAGGCAGACTGCCTCTGGATTGCTGCCTCCAGGAAATTTCTGGCACATGCAAGAAGCTTAGTCTATCTCTGTTGATTAATTGAATGAAATGCAGACCTCCTGGTGCCTGATAAAACATTCCCTGTGGTCAGGGCGGACTGCCCAGGGCAACACACAGTGTAGAAATGTAAGGTGCGGAATTCTGAATGAAGACTTTAAAAACTCCATCTGTGATGTATATTTGGGTCTTCCTTTAGTTCTGTCAGTTTTTGCTTCATAGATATAAAAGCACTGCTGTTAAGTGAGTACTCATTTATGATGAGGTTTTCCTGATTAAATCATAATGAAATGTTTCACATTTATCATTGTGAAATGGCTCTTTTTTTTTTCTATCCATTTAACTTGCTTCAAAGGGTTTTGTATATCTTCCTTTGTGAAGTGCCTATTAAAATCTTTACTAGGTTATCTTTTTATTATTCTATAAGAAGTCTTTATATATTCTAAAGAGAAGTCCTGTCAGATACATGTAAGACAGCCATTTTCTCCCAGGTCATGGCCTTCCTTTTTCATATGCTTAATGGTGACAAAGAGCAAAACTTTTTACTATTTATGAAAATTAAACGATTTTTAACAATTTTCATAGTTCCGTTTTTTTTCTTTGCTACATCTATAAAAGTTTTGCTTACTCCAATTTTGTGAGGATTTTCTGCTTTGCTCTCTTCAAGAAGTTTTTTAGTTTTAGCTTATACTTTTAGATCTATGATTAATTTCAAGATAATACTTGTATAAGGAGGGAGTTAAGTGCTGAGGTTCATTGTTTTCCAAATGGATTGCCAACTGTTCTGAAAAAAATGTACTATTCCCATTGCATTACCTTGCACCTTGGTGGAAATCGATTGTCCATATATATGTGGGTCTTTTCTGAACTCTCTGTTTTGTCCCATTGATCTACATGTCTACCCTTACATAAGTATTACACTGTCTTATTTATTGTAGCTTCATAGTAAGTCTTAAAATCAAGCAGTCTAGTCCTCTCAATTTCTTCCTCTTTAAAAAAGTATTTTGGCCTAAGTCTTTTGCAATTACATAAAATATTAGAATTAGCCTGTATAATTTTTAATGATAAAACATGCTGGAATTCTTGTTAGGTTTCTGTTGCATCGATGGTTCCATTTAGGGAGAATTTTAGCAATATTGAGTCTTCTGATATGGGAACATGGTTTATCTCTCAATTTTATTTAGGTCTTCTTTAATTTCACTCAACTGTGTTTTATAGTTTTCCTTGTACAAGTCTGGCACAAAATTGTCAAGTTTATCCCTAAGTATTTCTAGTTTTTTATATTCTTATAAATTTATTGTTTTTAAACTTAACTTTCCAATTTTTATTACTAAGGTACAGAATTAAAACTAAATTTTATATATTCTTTTTATCTTGTGTCCTGGCTAAACTCACTTTTTACTGTTATCATTTTTTTGTGAATTCTTTAGGATTTTTCATGTGCAACATTATCATTTGTGGTCTCCAGTAAAACGTCAAAAAGAAATAGTAAGAAGTTATGGTTCAAGATGGCAACATAGAAGGCTCCCAAACTCACCTCCTCCCACAGACACACCAAATCTCATCTACATATGGAGCAACTGGCCCTGAAAGAAATCCAGAAACTAGCTGAGTAAATCCCACACATGGGGCAAATGAGAAAAAAAAAGGACAAGAGAAGCTGAGACAGAATTTCTCCATAAACCCCACCCCTGGCATGGCAAACACATTCAAGAGGGAATTTACAAATCCCTGCTTCTCCTTGAGGAGTGATGGGTTTGGACTCAGTATCTACTGCTCCAACTTTTTTCCAACCAACCTGCATCTAGGTGCTGACTGAGATCCTCCCCTTTGAGACATTGACAGGTCTTGGCACACCCTTAACTGCTGGGAGCCACCAAGAACAAAGACAGCAGCTTGGACAATCACAGAAGTTTGTGAGTCAACCAGGAGCTCTGGACAGGCTTATTGACAAGGTTCAACTCGTACATGAGACCAATCTGTCAAGACTGGAAGAGGTAGCTGTGGTATCTAATGCACAGAAACCAATACAGAGAGCCAGGGAAAGTGAAGAACTAGGGGACTGCATTCCAAACAAAAGATAAGTCTCCAGAAATCAATCTCAATGAAATGGAAATAAGTGATTTACCCAATAGAGTTCAATATA